AGCTGGCTGAAGAATTCTGGGAGTTGAAGTCCACAAGTCTTAAAGTTGCCAAGGTTGGACACCCCTGCTGTAGAGCATAGTAGGTTTGTAACAAAAATGTAAGAGGACATAGAGAACAAAGAATGAATATTTGTGTGTGTGTGTGTACAAACATGTGTACAAAATACTCGTAGAGTTTTGTTTTCTTCCCCTGTATGATTACTCACTCTGCCTACTGACTCTCCCCAATCTGATAAAGCCCAGGAGAGGAGCTCCCTCATGAGGTCTTACTTTGAGATTCTTTGGAAATCGTTTTGATAGATCTAATATAATACTGCGTTGTTTGAGCATAGATATTGTTTTAATTGATGATTGGGAGCAACCCAGAATTCAATATTAGATGGGCACCAATATAAATGTTTTAATTAATTGAATTAGTATGGGAAGCCAGAGTGGCTGCAGAGTTTTGGAAGGAAGACTGCACCATGACAAAAAGCAAGATCTCTTCTATACTTCATTTGGGTCCTTTCATCATTCAATAACAGCAAGAGCATTACCTTGGATATTTTCTTCTTTGAAAGGCATTTCCAAAGCAAATGTCTGTCGTTAAACCGAATGAATGAATGAATGAATGAATGAATGAATGAATGAATGAATGAAAATACATGTGTGTGCGTGTGCGTCTGTGTGCGCATGCACGTATGTGTGTGTACAACTTAACAGCAGAAAGTTTGGGCTCAATTGTGGCTGTAAGTCAAGGTCTACCCATATTAACAAACAATGCTAACCCAAGAATAAATATGAGGAGTACAAATTTATCTTCCTGGCTGAAAAATACATAGGGATGTTGACTGCAGTGTTAACAAAATTAGCAGCACACACACACAGGTAGCATACACATTGGCACTTTATCTTAAAATTCCAAAATTGGGAAATGCGCAACTTGCCTGGTTTATACCCCTCCTCTCCTTGCAGCATTTTGATACAAATTTAAGCACATTTCTTGTAGATGGAGAAGCCTTGCAGCCAGGAAGACAATGCAAACAATGAAAGGAAATTATGAAAAGGGTAACAGAGGGAACACCTCCTCACCCCTTTCCTAAGAGGCCTGTAGGGGGCGTGCATAAGCGCACCAATGTGCCTACCGTCCCTGTCCTATTGTTTCTTTTATTTATTTTTATTTTTCTTATATGTATCCATGTATTCATAACTATCTTTTTACTTATACCTATTATCTTGTAAGCAATTGACAAAAATAAATAAATAAATAAATAAATAAAATCTTGATGAGTTTTAATGATCAGGAAATTGTGCTATTAGCACTTACGATCAATACTAGAAACCACTATTCACAGAACTTATTGAGTTAAACGTATTTAACTAGCTTCAATAAGTGTAAGTAAGAAGAAATTCAAATAATCTTTACTTGTAGTCAGATGCGCTAATCTTAACTGAGTTCTACCTGACATTAATTATCTGAAGTTTCTCTTAAGTAGGAAGGGACAAATCCAGTGTTACTAAAAATATATTAGAATAACAGTGTGAAAGCAGAAGGAAAAATAATTTAAGGATAGAAAGCAAGAGGAAAAAAATATGGCTTGGTTTTTTTTATAAAACAAAAGATAACTACCAGTGAATATAGTGATATAAATAGCACAGCAATGTAATGTAAAGTAAAATGAGGTAAAATGAGAAGCATCTTTTCTTCTGTAAACAAAAGCAGCAAGAAATATAATATTTCCACATCTGCTACTTGTGAGAAAGACTATCATAGATCTGAATAAAAAGTGGAAGCTGCATTATACCTTCAACAAACATACAGTATGTGTTCTTAAATCCATTGGTTTTCCCAGTTGTAACATACGATCATGAAACTGGACTGTCACAAGACTGAACAAAAAGAATTGATGCCTTTAAATTGAGGAGATGGAGAATATTGTTGAGAATAATATGGGCCATAACAAAAAAAATTCCATTAAATACTAAACGGAAAAAAAATATCACTGGAATCACTAACAGTGAACACAAAGCTTAAAGCTTGCCTCTTTTTAAATGTTATATATGGTTTTTATATTTTTAAAATATTTTATTATATACCACCTAGACTCCCTTTTTGAGAGAGATGGCAATTTTTAAAAATTAATCATACATTCAAAACATTTATTTATTAATGTGAAGCCTATTGATGCCTGAAAGATCAAAGGCAGTCTAAAAAGGAGTAGGCAGAATGCATTTTGTGTACTACCACTGATGACACTTAAAAGAAACTGCTGTTTTGATGAAATGATATCTACTGGCCTTAATTAGTGATCAGAAGTAACTGAATAATTGAACAATTATTAATCAATACCAATTGACATTATTGTATCACATGCAAAAAAAATTCTCATTACCTTATTTACACATTGTTATTGGAAGCGCTAAGAATCTATGCCCTTTGACCTACAACCCTGGTCTCATTAACTCAGATATTGCAGGGAAGGGTATGAAATCACAGAGTTGTCTCATCGTGTAAAGCAGAGGTAGGGAACTATGATCCCTTTATGACTTGTGGACTTCAACTCCCAGAATTCCTGAGCCATTGGCTCAGAAATTCTGAGAGTTAAAGTCCACAGGTCCTAAAAGGGCACAGTTTCCCACCCCTCATATAGAACATAATTATTTTCTCAAAATTGTTACAAATAGAAAACCATTTGTAGAAAATGTGTTAGTAGGAGAAAATTCTATTTTGTTTTCCTTTACCAAGAATTCTCCATTAAAAATCCTATTTTACCTTTTCCCATTGAAAATAATGTCAATTCTTACGGGGTGAAATTAATTCTCACCATCATTCTTGATTTATAGATGGATTTGGTAAAAAAAAATCTTGTTTGAGCTGTTTCTTCATTCTCTCCCAATGAAGTAATTGGTTCTTCCCCAAAGAAGAGACATTCCAAATACAAAGGGTTCAATTTCAATTCCAATCCAATAGATTTTTAACAGTGGTTTCATGAAAAATGTCTTATACTTTGCTGCTTACAATATTAAGATTCAAGCCTGAAGTGACTTGAGCCCAAGATTTGTTTGTTCATTTGTTTAATTTCTATAGCCATCTCAACCCAATTGACTATGGGCAGGAAACAGATCTAGAATCCTAGATATTTTAATTAATGATTTGGGACAGGAAAGTATAAGCCACTGTTTGAAGGACAGGATTTCCTCACAATGTGGTAAATTCTGTATTATCCTAGTGGAAGCTTACTTGATTGTTGTCTCTCTTTTTTTGTGTGAATCTTGAGTTAGCAACTAAACTGAATTAGTACAATTTTCTTAAACAATTTGCTTCTGAAGAAGGCAGTGGAAGGAAGATAAATATATTTGTAATGTGTTGGCTACTCTGAAAGATCAGTTTACTTGACTTGTGGAGGATAAAATCTGGGATGCAACTACTGTTATTACATAACACCATGAGGCAACATTTGTCAAATAACATCATATTTAAGTTTATCAGAATCTATAGTACAACACAGATTTAAGTAACATCATGACATAGTGAGCCATAGAAATTGTAATGGCAAGTCATCGTTGTGTTGACGCACAGGTTCAGTCACTTGAATTATAGTGCCTAGCCCTAAAAGATCTTTTCTGCCCCATCAAGCTTTTCCAAGGAATCACTATTCAGAACTTTATTACTTAACTTATTCGGTATTGTTTGAAGTTGGCATTAACTCACTTTTAAAAGTTTGGCATGTTGGTTTAATTTGTGCTATATTTTTGCACCTTTGGGTTACATGTTGTTTTTAACAGAAGTAGCTTTTAACTTTGTAAAAGTAAATGAAACCAGATGATCTGTTATTAATAAATATATTTCATCTTCCAGGAAATCAGAAAGCTAACAGACAAAGTGCTTCAATCTGGAACACATGGGAAGGACGGATGTCAAATTTCAAATCTGGAGTACTTGTGGTAATCTTGGAATGGAGAAATTTTAACCCCGACTCCCAGAAGGCCGCCGAAGATGAATCATACTAACTTTACTCCAGAAGCCAACATGGCTACAAACTCTAAAACTGTCACTGAAAATTTGCTAATTACCTTGTCTCTCTCCATCATTACAACCCTGACTATGCTACTGAATTCTTCTGTTATTTCAGCAATCTGCACAACAAAGAAGCTCCACCAGCCAGCCAACTATCTTATATGCTCACTGGCTCTTACAGATCTGCTTGTTGCTATTCTAGTGATGCCCTTGAGCATTGCCTATATAGTGATGGACAGGTGGACCTTGGGATTCTTCCTCTGTGAGGTCTGGCTGAGCATAGACATGACCTGCTGCACATGCTCCATACTCCACCTTTGTGTCATTGCCTTGGATAGATACTGGGCAATTACAGATGCTATTGAATATGCCAGGAAAAGGACTGCCAAGAGAGCTGGTATTATGATCTGCACAGTATGGGCAATATCGATTTTCATCTCAATGCCTCCATTGTTTTGGCGAAACCACCGTAACAGCAGCAATTCCAGCGACTGCCAAATCCAACACAGTCATATCATTTATACCATATATTCCACCTTTGGAGCGTTTTATATCCCTTTGACCCTCATTCTGATTGTCTACTACAGAATCTATCACGCAGCAAAGAGTCTGTATCAAAAACGTGGGTCAAGCAGGCATCTCAGCAGCAGGAGCACCGACAGCCAGAACTCTTTTGCCAGTTGTAAACTCACGCAGACATTTTGCATTTCAGACTTATCCATGTCCGATCCTACCGCGGAATTTGATAGAATCCAGTTTTCAGTGAGGGGCCCTCCTTTTGACAATGATCCCGATTTGGTCGGAGACCGCCAACAGATTTCCAGTGTAAGGGAGAGAAAGGCTGCACGCATCCTTGGCCTCATTTTAGGTGCATTCATTTTGTCTTGGTTGCCATTTTTTATTAAGGAGCTCATTGTGGGCCTTGGGATAAGCACTGTGTCAGCGGAAGTTGCTCATTTTTTGACATGGCTTGGCTATGTGAATTCTCTTATCAATCCTCTGCTGTATACTAGTTTTAATGAAGATTTTAAATTTGCCTTTAAAAAACTCATTAAATGTTGGGAACACCCTTAAAACAACCCTGCATAATGTTGTTGTTTGACATTATTGGTCTTAACTATGTGGAAAGGTTCAACTCCATCTAGAAATCTTGTTTTCTTTTATAGGAAGAAAGGTTGGATTATATATATATATCTTTCAGCTTAACTTTTCTCTTGTCACCTGTAAATTTGTCAAACTGTTTCTACCTCCTTGTATCATGAGTATGTGAGTTTCTCTTCTATGAGTTTCAAATATACTTTATTACGGGCACTTTTGCTTTCTCCTTTTTTCCTTTGAAGCCGGGACACGGACAATAAAGAGCCACGGTAGCTTTAGGCCATTGAATTGTGGACATTCACCTGTGCCAATGATGGCCTGTTCATTTGCTTCCCCCATTGATTTATGAGACCTACCTTGAATTTCAGTAGGATAGCCATTATTCAGAATGGGAAGTTAATGCCTTCTTCACCTCTCCTCCTTAGGTCTATGGCTTTATAGTTACTTTGGGCCAGACTGGGTAAAATTCCTCTTCACTGCTTCTCCTTGTAAATATAAAACAGCAAACTACTGTATTCCATTCATGAATCCACATGCACACACTAAAAGCTGGGTAGAAAAGTGAAAGAAGAGCATCCATTGAGCCCAAGGAGCATCTTCACCTATAAATGAAGCTGCATCTTCAGAAGATCAGGCCTCGTCTTTTTTT